CATTCTCATTAAAAAGTAGCATATTTGTAAAAATGATTCCGTGTGTGGCATTTTTGCAAAGTGTTCACCTATGTGTGGTATTTTTGTAATTGACTTTTTTTATTTTTGCTAAATGTAAATAAATAATAATCTTTAAAGTTTGTACTTTGTAATATACCCTTTTTTATCATTTTTCTAAAAAAAAAATCCATGCATGCGGCTATGACCCTATTAGATTATTTACTCGATTACTTTTAACTAAAATGGAAATTGTGGTCACAATAATTTTACTTTAGCCTCTAGCTAATGGTACATTCTATTTATAATTACTTTTACTATTTATGCAATACTATCCCATAGTACATCAATAACTTTTCATCATTAATGTGCTCATCGTAAAATTAAAAATTGTAACCAATTGTGATTTTTTTCAAGTCATCGTAGACCGGTAGTAATATTGGTAAACAATATATTTTTAAGTTCACTCAATTTCATTCGAATTTTAGTTTTATAAATTTAAAAGTTACATAAACAGAGCTATAACGATCATAATATACAAAAATTGTTTTCACAAGGCAAGTTATTTTTTCAATTGTTTTTATTTATTTAATTTGTAATATATATTCACACACATCTATAAGAATTGCCTTTTAAGGTTCCGATCAACTTTTTTTTCCAATGTTTCGATCACTTAAAAGGCAATGTTGGCACTTTTGCATACTACAATCTCCTTTTAAGCTTTATATGATTGATCATTTTGTTAATTTGCTTTATTCGATTTTTCAGTTCTTTATCTTGCGGATATCTTCGCTTTTTGTTTTCTTCCTCTTTGACATCTCTTTTCTACTTATCCTATAAAGGTAATAAAAATCAAGGATTAACCTTTTCTTGCTTTTGGTCGACGACCATGAACATTAACTAGATTAATAACAAAGCTAAAGTTACAAATGATATAGAAACTGTAATACAATATAAAAAATAAAAAATGATGAAAGAAATATTTTTGATGATTTAATGAAACGGATAGAGAGCGAAGGAGCATGATGAATGTGAATACAAAAGTGGTAACTGCTTTTAAATCATACAATATGAATAAAATTAATATGTCGCCATTTCACGGCTCTGTCACAAGACTCACAACAACCTAAACCAATTGCGAGCAAGCTCACTATTTACAACTCGTGAAAGTATAAATATATTGTTTATTCTAGAATATGTATCTTATTATATAAATAAGAATAAGAATATACAAATCTTTCGTGGAAGAAATAAACTACTTATAAATAAAACATGACTTTATAAATTAATTCATGACTTAGATCAACGTTTAAGGCTTTCCAAATCATAAAACCAATCCATGAAGAGTACATATATGTTGTACAATCTTAAAATATCACAATTGAAAAGTTTATAGTTGTGTTAAACTTTGAATACCATACTTATTTTATGCTATTTTCTGATGCATTTTCATATTTAGTTTTAAATACTAAACCAAGCGCACACATGCATATGAACTAAAGTGGGTAAAAGTAGTAAATCATTCCACTTGGCAAGATAGGGAAAAAAGTGGAAGAGGTTAAATTGTGATTCCAAACGACTAGACAAAAAATATTTTACAACTTTTGCTTTTTCTTTTGAATCGAAATTTTGTACATGTGGCCGTCGAACCGAACACAATATGAAATTTGTCATAATCTTATCACACAATAACGTCTTTTGATAATGATGAGAAATAAAGCAAGAAAACTTCCAAACACAAAACGAGTTACATGTTTTTTGTCACGTCATTTCCTTTTTTTCATTTTGGTAACCGAAATTCTATTATTTTTAACGATTATCTGTTATAGTTTATTATATGTAGCAACACAAAAACTCCAAAATGCTAGATTCAAAAAGGTTTATATATCACTTTATTTCAAATTCGATTTTGGCTCTAACTATTCAGACGTTTTGAAAAAGTATCGCCACCTACGCCATTAACAATTGATAATTAGCTGGATTTTTTGTTTTCAATGCCATCACTAAAAATTGAATTCTTTTCAAAAGCTAAAAATAAAAATCTGCCAATTCTATATGTATTGGATAATTTATTTTCATCAAAAATTACGTTTTCATCAATTAAATAAAATTAATTATTAGTTGATAATTTTCTGCTTTTGTTAAACTAAATAACATTGTCATTTTATCTACAAGACTACAACTAATAATACAAACATGTTGGGCTCTTATGGTATTTCATCATTACAGTTCATGGGCTTGGGCCGAGTATAAACCTTAGGCCCATTTATTTTACCAATAGTCTCCACAAGAACAAGACCCATCTCTGAAATGATGATACCTCTTTGCATCTCTACAAATAATCTCTCTTTTTATAACTCTTGATACGATCTTGATCCAACTGTGACAATCAACACATACTCTAAGGTTCTTTAGAATCCTTATACTTCCACTAACATTACTCCAAACTGCAAAAGCAATGGCGAGTTTCTCGCTATGTAGATGCAAAGATCTCTCTTTCGCAGTCTCCTCCATGTCTTGAAACACGCAGCTTTTGTCTTCGACATACCCCAAATCTTTAGCTTTCTTGATCAGCTCTTCCAGAGTTTCAAGAATCTGCGCCGAGTTTGGATGCGAAGACAAATCTCCAGCCATGAATGTATGCGTTTCTCTATCGACGTCAACCCAACTCATCGCTGGATTCTTCTTCAGCTTCATTTCTTTCATCTCGCTCTTCATTTCGATCACTCTGTTCCATTTCCCTGCGGCTGAGTAGAGATTTGACATTAGAACGAGGGTTCCTTCGTCTCCAGGTGCAATATCAAGGATCTTTTTCTGTATCCGCTCTGCCATCTCTACATCTCTCTGAACCTTACAGGCGCTGAGTAGCGTCCTCCACAGAACCAAATCAGGGTTCATAACCTCGGTTATTAGCATTTCCGCCTCTTCTAATCTCCCTGCTCTTCCAAGTATATCTACCATACAAGCGTAATGATCATTCGTTAACATAAACTTATCCTTTCTGAATGAGTCGAAGAATTCACAACCTTCCTTAACTAATCCAGAATTGTTACAAGCCAAGAGTATGCTTAAGACTGTTACATTGTTCGGTTGCAGTCCAAGATTTATCATTCTCTCAAACAACTCGAGTGCTTCGCGTCCGAAACCGTTCTGTGCATAACTATAGATCATCGTATTCAAAGATATAACATCAACTTCACTCAACGTATCAAACACCGACCTTGCCATGTCTGACCATCCACATTTCCCATACAGATCGATGAGCCCTGATCCGGCATACTTATCTCTATCAAAACCATATTTAGTCACTATCCCATGAATCTGTCTGCCTTCTTCAAACATTGCGAGATTTGAACACCCCCTGAGAGCACTCGACAACGTAAAAGAGTTTGGCTTTATGGAATCACGCATCATCTTTCTAAATTCGGTAAGGGCCATTTCTTCTCTACCGTTTTCGACAAGCCCCGAGATAAGAGAAGTCCAAGTCACCTGATTTGGGTACACAATACACTCGAAAACCCGCAAGGAATCATCAACTAAACTACACCTTAAATACATTGTAAGAAGAGAAGTTTGTGAACCAAGAGCAGAATCAAACCCAGACTTGATCATAAGTCCATGAATCAACTTGCCATTACCTATATCCTTCAAGTTTCCACAAGATATCAATACACTAGCGTAAGTATACTCATTAGGTTGAATTTCCTCCACCAACATACGTTGAAATGCCTTCACAGCTTCTGTATCTTCGCCTTTCTGCGAGTAACCAACGATCAAAGCAGTGATCAAAACTACATCTTTCTCCTCCACACGGTCCAATACTAACTTTGCCTCCCTCGTTTTACCAAACTTTACATACATATCAACGAGGGCACTTCCAACGAACACATTCGAGACTTCCAAACCCAGAATCACGGCAAGTCCGTGGCTTCTCCGAGCTTCTTTTTCAAGTCTCAAGTCTAAGAACGCCTTGAAAACATTGGACAAAGTGTACTCATCTGGCAAAACATTGTTCGTGATCATCAATCTATACATCTCAATAGCTTCCTTGCTTCTTATATGCTTGATAAAATACGAAATCAGAGAGTTCCATGTTACAATATGTCTCTCAGACATTCCATCGAACACCTGGCGTGCGTAACCGATCTCGCCACACTTCAAACACGCGTCGACGAGTTTGCTGCCGGAATGTTGTACCGGAAAACCAGATTTGAGCATCTGAGCTTGAACGTTCTTGATTCCTGATATAGATCTTTCCTCTATGCATTTTCTGAGAAATGGAGAGAAAGTGTGCGTCGTTGTTAAAGCATCATTTGTGATACAGAGAAGCCTACATTGACAATTCGAAGAACCGATTTTTGTATCAATGAAGCTTAAGAATCTAGAGAAGCCGATCAATCCGCCGTGATAATCTCTTCTCATCGCCGCCGCATTATTCCTCCGACAATCACCGGAATAATCAAAATTTGCGCCATTTTTTTTTAATAATAATTATACCGTATAATAGCCCATTAAGCCTCATTATGGCCCAATAAGGTACATTAAAGGCGTTAAAATTAAATATATTACAGCCTCTAAAGGCCCATTTAGGGACATTTTAGCTCATTTAGGGCCCATTAGAAGAACCCCTCTCGGTTCTGGAAAATGAATAGAACTTTGAACAACTCATTCTGCTAATATTCTCTACGTTTTCCATCATCGGAGAGATCTAAAACGCCAAGGGATCGATCTATGATCCGTCGAATACAGCCACGATGCGACGCGAGCTTGAATGGTTCAGTCTCCACCGTCGCAATCCTGATGATGAAATTCTCGACGGATGTTGCGGTTCATTCTCCTTGCACTTACTTCGTCCACCTCCTCACTCGCCGGCCGTTTTGCTCTGCGTCTCCGCCTGTACGCACTCTTCCGGCGGAAGAATCTGACCAATCGAGTGTTCCACACCGTATACTCTCAATTCTCTCCAAACCCAATTGGCAAAAGTCTCCGTCTTTGAAATCAATGGTTCCGGCGATAAGCCCTGCCCACGTCTCGTCACTGTTCTCACTCGATCTAGATCCCAAAACAGCTCTTGATTTCTCGCATTGGATCTCACAGAAACCGAGATTCAAGCACAGTGTCTATTCTTTTGCATCTCTTCTTACTCTTCTCACTAACCATGGATATATGGGTGTTGTGTTTAAGATCAGGTTAATGATGATAAAGAGCTGTGATTCAGTGAGAGACGCGTTTTTTGTTTTGGATTTCTGTAGGAAGATGAGTAAAGAAGAAAGATTTGAGCTCAAGTATAAGCTTNCTATTGGGTGTTACAACACATTGTTGAATTCGTTGGCTAGATTTGGATTGGTAGATGAAATGAAGCAACTTTTTATGGAAATGTTGGAGGATGAGGTTTATCCGAACATTTACACGTATAATAAAATGGTTAATGGGTATTGTAAGGTAGGGAATGTGGTAGAGGCGAAGCAGTATGTGAGTAAGATAGTTGAGGCTGGATTGGATCCTGATTTTTTCACGTATACCTCTTTGATTATGGGTTATTGTCAAAGGAAGGATTTAGATTCTGCTTTTAAGGTTTTTAATGAGATGCCATTGAAGGGATTCCGTAGAAATGAGGTTGCATACACTTACCTTATACATGGTCTTTGTGTAGCGAGGAGGATCGATGAAGCGATTGGCTTGTTTGTGAAAATGAAGGATGACGACTGTTATCCAACAGTTCGTACTTACACGGTGCTCATAAATGCTTTATGTGGATCAGAACGGAAGCCCGAAGCTCTTAACTTGCTAAAGGAGATGTCAGAGAAAGGTATTAAGCCGAATATTCACACGTATACAGTGCTTATTCATAGTTCATGCAGTGAATGTAAGCTGGATGAAGCTAGAGGGTTGCTAGATGATATGCTGGAGAAAGGGTTAATTCCAAATGTAATCACTTACAATGCATTGATTGATGGGTATTGTAAGCAGGGGATGGTTGAAGATGCGCTAAAGGTTGTGGAGTTGATGGAATCACGTAACCTTAGTCCCAATACACGCACTTACAATGAATTGATACATGGGTTTTGTAAGTGGAATGTGCACAAAGCAATGGGAGTGCTTAATAATATGCTGGAGCGCAAAGTGGTTCTGAATGTTGTCACTTACAATTCATTAATCGATGGGCAGTGTAGATCTGGTAATTTTGATAGTGCATATAGATTGCTTAGTTTGATGAATGATAGAGGATTAGTTCCAGATCAGTGGACATATAATAGTTTCATAGATTCTTTGTGTAAAAGCAAAAGAGTGGAAGAAGCCCGCGAACTATTTGATTCTCTCGAGCAGAAAGGTGTAAATGCAAATGTGGTGATGTACACTGCATTGATTGATGGTTACTGCAAGTCAGATAAACTAGACGAAGCTCTTCTTATGCTTGAGAAAATGTTGAGTAAGAATTGCTCGCCAAATTCATCTACTTTTAATGCCCTGATTCATGGACTATGTACACATGGTAAATTGAAAGAAGCAAAGTTGTTGGAGGAAAGAATGGTGAAGATGGGTCTACAGCGTACAGTTAATACGGATACAATATTGATTCATAGATTGCTAAAGGAAGGGGATTTTGATGATGCTCATAGACGTTTTGACCAAATGTCGATCTCTGGATCAAAGCCTGATGCACATACTTACACAACGTTTATCCAAGCCTACTGTAGCCAAGGGAGACTGCCAGAAGCTGAGGATATGATGGCGAAGATGAAGGAAAATGGTGTTTCCCCAGATTCAGTCACTTATTCCTCTCTGATTAAAGGTTATGGAGATCTAGGGCAGACAGATTCTGCATTTGATGTCCTCAAGCGTATGCTTGATGCTGGTTGTGAACCTTTCCAATATACGCTTTTGTCTCTGATCAAACATCTGCTAGAGATGAAATATGGAAACGAGAAAGGCGGTGCAACAGATCTCTGTCTGATGTCTAATATAGAGTTTGATATTGTTGTTGAGCTTCTTGAGAAGATGGTAAAACACGGTGTTACTCCCAACGCCAAATCCTATGAAAAGCTGATACAAGGAATCTGCGAAACTGGGAACCTCAGAGTTGTGGAAAAGCTGTTTGATCACATGCAACAAAATGAAAAGATATCTCCGAGTGAGACGGTTTTCAATGCTCTTCTTAGCTGTTGCTGCAGGTTGGAAAAGTACAAGGAGGCAGCAAAAGTTGTGGATGATATGATCCATGTTGGTCACTTACCGCAACTAGAGTCTTGCAAAACCTTGGTATGTGGGCTGTATAAAAACGGAGAAAAAGAGACAGGGACTTTGGTTTTTCAGAATTTGCTTCGATGTGGTTATAATCATGATGAAATAGCTTGGAAGGTCATTATCGATGGTGTCGGGAAGCAGGGACTTGAAGAAGCATTTTATGAACTGTTCAACGTTATGGAGAAAAGTGGCAGCAAGTTTAGCTCTTATACATATTCACTGCTAGTTGAAGGACCTCCTGATAGCACATAGAGGGTTATTGCCAGAGGCTAATGCAAATCTAATGGAATTCGGATTCTTTTCTTGGGATGCGTAACTCGACCTGAGCTGGCAAATCCCAACTGTGTATTGCTGAAAATCTGCAAGTAGCCTTGTTTTCCTGTGATAGTGCTACAGATCATACAGTAAGGTACCACAACAATAGTATTAATTTTGTTTGGCTTAAATGTGTGACATTTCCATTTAATTCCACTCTCCAATCTTGCATATTCATAGTTTTTTCAGTATCTCTCATTACTGACATTTTCTTTACTTTGTTTCAGGGTCAAAACCATGATCCAGGCTTTCGTCCGAATCATCATAGATATTTGAGACAAAACTAAGGAGTGAATGTACAGTTTCGCTAGCTTCTTGATAAGGCTCAAGAAATGAAAATTCCTTTAAAATTGTCTTGAAGAGAAGGCACAACACAGGGAAAACCTTGGAGCAACCGCTTGGAGCTTTGCTTTTTTTGTTCTTAAAGGTATGGAACTTGGCATTTAACAATTCTTGACAAGAAAAACGACATTATTTGTCTTCTGTTGCATAGTTGAACCTTGATTCTTCTCCTTTTGCAGAGTAAAGACATGATAAAAGGACCAATGTGGGATTTGTTATTTGAAGACGGACGTCCGAGGTGGTCGGATTATTTCTTTCAGCTCAGAGGATATAATATTCTTTTCATTTTCCTTTGATGTAAACATAATAATTTTATCTTTTTTTACGCTTTCTATCAATATAAAAGATTTTACAAGAAAAAACATGTACACCGCAAAAATACAATTTTGACGTGTCTAGAGAACGTCTGCTCAGCCGCCATTTATGACTAGCAGGTGTTCAAACAGAAGATGAGCTTTAAAAGAATCAGTCTCGGTCTGGTCGTTGGTTTATTATTATGAATGAGAGACAGACCATGGCCAAACCAAAACCAAAGCTTCATGTTGCAGTGTTCCCATGGTTAGCTTTAGGTCATATGATTCCTTACTTGCAACTCTCCAAGCTCATTGCAAGAAAAGGCCATAACGTCTCCTTCATCTCCACACCTCGTAACATTTCACGTCTTCCCAAAATACCCTCCAACCTTACCGTAATTTTCGTGTCTTTACCGTTACCTCACGGCGTCGACCACCTCCCGGAGAAGGCGGAGGGCACAACCGACGTCCCGGAGACTCACATCGCCTATCTCAAGGAGGCCTTTGATGGGCTTTCTGAAGCTTTCTCAGAGTTTCTAGAATCTTCAAAGCCGGACTGGATAGTGTATGATATCTTGCACCATTGGGTTCCGCCTATCGCCGAGAAGCTCGGCGTGAGACGGGCCATGTTCTGCACGTTCAATGCAGCTTCCATCATCATCATCAATGGGCCAGCATCAATCATGATCCATGGTCGTGACCCTCGAAAGACCGTGGAAGATCTCATTGTGCCACCACCATGGGTCCCGTTTGAGACCAACATAGTTTACCGTCTCTTTGAGGCTATGAGGATTATGGAGTATCCCACGGCAGGTGTAACCGGAGCTGAATTGAACGATAACTATAGAACTGGTTTGACTTACTTTGGCTCTGAGGTTATTGCGATTAGAACATGTATGGAACTCGAACCTGAGTGGATTCAATTGCTCAGTAAGCTCCAAGGAAAGCCTGTGATTCCAATCGGTTTGCTTTCGCCTTCACCAGTAGATGAGGCAGATGATGAAGGGCCATGGCTAGACATCAGAGAATGGCTGGATACGCAGCGAGTAAAGTCTGTGGTTTATGTAGCCTTAGGAACCGAAGTGACCGTTAGTAACGAAGAGATCCAAGGTTTAGCTCATGGGTTGGAGCGTTGTGGGTTACCTTTCTTTTGGATGCTAAGGAAGAGGACAGGAGCTTCTGTGTTTCTTCCTGATGGGTTCGAAGAGAGAGTCAAAGGGCGTGGAATCGTTAGGACCGAGTGGGTACCTCAGACAAAGATACTGAGCCATGGTTCAGTTGGTGGGTTTGTAACTCACTGTGGGTGGGGATCAGCTGTGGAAGGGCTTAGCTTTGGTGTCCCTTTGATCATGTTTCCATGTAACTTAGACCAGCCGCTAGTAGCTAGGTTGCTTGGTGGGTTGAATATAGGCTTGGAGATTTCAAGGAATGAGCAAGACGGGTCAGTCACTAGTGCTTCTGTCGCAGAGACAATCAGACTAGTTGTTGTGGAAGAAGACGGAAAGATTTACAGAGACAATGCTGCATCTCAGCAAAAGAAAATATTTGGGAACAAGAGATTGCAAGATCAGTATGCAGATAGTTTTATCGAGTTCCTGGAGAATCAAAGAGCAGGAATGTAGAGCGAATAAAGAAGAAGTTTACTGTACTCTCTATCAACGTCAAGGAGAAGTGTAATAAGAGTTGAGAAATAAGGCGCAATCAATGTATACAACACTGCATGTATAATAACAAACATAAACGTTCTTAAATCAAAAACTTGATGCTCCCTTTTGCGCAAGAAGATAATAAAACTTAGATGTTATATTATTAAGGCTATGTGTACAGGTACAAACAAATTATTACCTCGGTCAGGGTAGTTTGTCTCTGTACAAAATGCTATTTGGTAGGTGGAGATCTCAGCTTGTCGTCCGACTCGTGTTTAAGAGAAGAATCCCCTCCCATTAGTTGTTCGAATCCTTCAACCTTAACGGGTTGAGCCCTGACCGTTCCTGGTGTACTGCAAATACAATGGGGACACAACTCTCAAAACCCATCGAGTAGGCATAGAACCAAGGGACTTTTGAGTTTAGAGGCGATACTTACGGTGTTTGCATTTGTGGAATTTGCATTGAAGCCAATTGCCTGAATTGGTTATAGCCCGGCTGTTGTTGTTGCAGATTCGACATTGCAGCAATCTGTTGCTGTCTGAGTTGATGCTGTATTTGTTGCTGGTGTCTTGGGTTCATAGTGTTGAAGGCATTTCCATCTACTGCCATTTCAGAAGGATTCTCAAGCTTTACCTGAACCAGTGGCCGATCCTTTTCAATTTCCGTGTTGGGTCGCGGTGATGTAACTTGACGCCTACGCATTCTCTCTAGCTGTTGTTGCTGCTGCTGAAAGGTTTGGGCATTAACCATTTG